CAGCCTTCCCTCCACGGGTATCTCCAGACGAGCTTTCCCACTCTCCCCCTGGCACGTATTTCAAGAAAAGCCCCCTGAGTTTTGTCAGTGAGGTTCGGGGCTCAATCAAATTGCTTCAGCTTAGCGAGTCACCTCCTGTCCCCTGAGCCAAGGCAAATAACCACAATCCTTAGGTGGTAGCGAACGGGGGGAAAGCTGCTCTCACCTTGGCAGTGGGCTAAGAGGGAGGAGGCAACAGGCTCTGCTGCCGTACCATAACTTGTTACGGCACGGTACATCGGTCCCGGTGCTGAGCACCCCCCTCCTGCCCTGACTCGGTGACTCCCCGCCGAACCCCGGTATTCTGGAGGCTGCTCTGCCCTCCAGCCCGCTCCTCGCCCCTGCGCTGGGCTACCCCCGGCCGCGCTGGCACCTACAGGCGGAGTCGGAGAGGGCGGTGTGCGAGGAGCGCCGGGAGCTGTGGGACGACAACGACACTCCCTCCCGGCTGGCGTTTTTTTTCTGCCCCACGTCCAGGTAGCTGCTGTGGCTCTGCGGGGAGCGAAGCACAAGCGGCGAGACCGTCAGCAGGAGAGGACAGCACTAGGGGGGACCTCCACCTCCCTGACCGCTTGTTTGCAGAGCAAAAATAAGAGACTGGGTGTGTGGAGGGCCAGCACTGCAGCACCACACCACCAAACCCTGGTGCAGTATTCGGTCTGCCCCTCAGCGTTTACCCTAAAGCCTCCAGGTATCCCTGTGCAGGCAGGACCCTCAGGATCACACCCCAGACATCCCCAGCTTTGGGGCGATGCCACGCACTTCTGTCCCGGGACACGGGTCTGACAGCAGCGAGCGGCGGTGGGGGGGAAGCACCGTGCGTCGGGTGAATGCCGCGGGGATTGCTGACTGTGCCCCACACCTTCCCGCTCTCCTGCCCGCGGAGCTGTGTGCAAATGGAAGTATGCTTTTATAATTAGCTTCCTTCTGCCCGATTTCTTCAGGCATGTCACAGTTCATTGGCCGTGGAGTGGTGGCAGAGGTAACGAATGAAGGCGGCAGGAGGAGCTGGCTGGGGAATGGTTTTATTCATGGCAGAGATGGAGAGACAAGGCTGGGAAGGGTCATGGAGCAGTGGCACGGGGACGTCAGCTGCAGCCCTAGGAGAACCTACAGCAAATGGCTCCCGCAGGGGACAGGTACCGGGCGATGCTGAGGGCTGCAACCCCACTCGCCGCTCCCTGGCAAGCAGTCGCTCCCAGCAGGCTGTTCTAGGCAGGAACCCGGCCGTACATCCGCAGAGGGGAACAGCCTAAGCTAGTGAATATGAACGGCTTTGGAGCTGTCACACCAAAACGACAGATGCCACCTGGCAGATGGTTTATGGCAAACAGCCCATAACTGTTGGGTAGTAGGAGACTGTTTCACTGGCAGGATGTGGGTGACCATGTTGGCCGTGCCACCACCCTCCCCACACCCTCCCAGGGAGCTCCCCAGCTTCCCACTCCCCTCCAGAAGATCAAGCAATGGGAGTGATCGCTCTGCCTTTCCTCCAGCTGCCTTACATCAACAGATGCAGCTTAAGGTCTGCAGAAAAATATCTCAGCTATCACATGGAAAGGGGAAAAAGACAGAGAAGCGTGCTGTGGTGACAGAGAAGCAGCCGTCTGCAAGTCAGTCCTTGCTCAAGTGCAAAAGCTCTCTGGGACAGCTTCCCCTATACATCCCATAAATGTCTTCTATAAAATAATGTCTGAAGAGCAATGAGGCTAATGGAATGATAATTACACCCACTTGAAATTACTTTGATTACTGGTCTTATCTGTAAACTACTGAGAGGAAGAACTTAAAAGTAATTAAAATGACTTTGTTAACTGGGCAGGTGTGTTGGGATGCCAGACCGATTCAAGCCATGAAAGTTATTGCTCTGGTCACAATCCTACACTTGATGCGATCCTGCCCAATGGTGTAAACAGAGCTGAAATCTGGAATAAGTGTTTTCCCTTCACTTCCAATCTTCGTCTGAGTATCAGTGACGAGCTGGCATTAACAAAACATGTGGTACTGCCCTGCGCTCGGGTCCTCTGTGCCTTACTGACGGTGACAGGTACAGCAATCTAGCCTCCAGCTCCAGCTCTACTTTTCTGCTTCTGAACTGAGGTGGTTTAACCCATCATTTGCATAATGGCCTAAGAAAGATAATGATTAGCAGAACAGCAGCAATGCAACTGCTGAATTTGCAGTTATATGCCTGAACCAAGACGGGCAGTTTAGAGCCATGCAGTGGAAAACTTCTCAGGGACTGCCTGAGTTATAACCCAGCTGAAGGCCTGGAAGGAGATGGGAGTAAAGGAGAAGGAGAAGAAAAACCAGATATTTTTCTAAAATTGGTAAGCGATTACTCAGTTTGATTTAAACACCTACTCATTCAACTGTGAAGGGACATGGTACCTTTAGAGAAGAGGATGCCAGTTCAATTGATGACTCTTCAAGGCCAAGATCTCGCCTTCTTTCAGCTCGAACTTCTGCATAACTAAAAAAAAAAAAAAAAAAAAAAAAAAAATTAAAATCCAGTTTTTCAGTCTGGATACTGTTTACTGTATGGTAGCTATCCTACAATAGAGGTCACTATGCAGTCTTCATGATGAGTCACAAGCTTTGCACAGCACACGCACACACTCTCTCATATACAAGGTGCTTAGAGGAACATCATCATCCAGCCTTGCAATCTGTGAATGACTGCACATGCTGAATATCCACAGATTAGGAACAACAGGGCAGTGTCCCAGTCCCACTGCACCCAGGACTGCAGAGCCTATATGATTAATTGCACTAATCATTCCAAGCACAAACGTAGACACTCCTTTGCAAATTTTGGCCCTGGACGCCTTCAAGAAAACGAATTTAAAAGCGAAATGCACTTGGTTATTGAAGACAAAATGGGTGTCTTTGTCCTCAGTACAACTTTCCTAATAAAGGAGATTCCCATTTTCCACAATCAGGCAGAAAAATGATCCTCCAGGTTTTGTGCAGGTAAACTGCCATAGCAAATGTACATTCATTTTCTAACCTGCTGATGATCAAGAATCAATTTTTTGCGTGTTGCACGGTAGCTCAGTGAGACCTAACCCAGTGCCTTGGGGAGGAGGGGGTCAGGTCCCCTCTCTCTGAGGGCGCGCACCGCGCCGTGCGGCATGCTACGTCAGAGTTAACGTCCCTCGCTCCAGTAGAAGCTCTGAATACAAACCGACAGCTGCCCAGGTGCAATACGAGGTGCAGGAATCCCCAGGAATGTGCCTCTAAAAGTGTATATTTACTTTCCTTATTATTTTTTCTCTTAAATAATAAAATATTTACAGTAAAGGATGCCACATGAGTCACCATTGGGATAAATTGGAGAGGATGTTTTAAAGACTCTCTGAGTGCTTGTGGATCGTGGGCACTGAAAGGTGCCAGAATTTAGGGTGCTGAAATATTAATGGGCCATAACCTTTGTGGGAGGCAAGAAAAGTTGCTGAACTGAACTCACTTATATCATTGTAGGCAATGAATTTTCCTGAAATCACATTTCAACTTTTGTGTTTCAATAATATATTCTAAACCTTAACTATATGAGACAGAATTGAATTTCAAAATCTATTTAGGACTATAACACTAGGTTTAAGAGGCACTGGAAGCAGAAAGAAGAAACAAGTTCATGGACAATAAATTCAGAGCTCAAAGTGAAGCCGAATTCCCTGAAGGACGACCGAAGCAACGCAACTCAGAAGCAATCCCTCTGTCTAACATTTGCTGACGACAACACTTGATACGTACTTTATATCAGCACACAGAGCTCTGATCACTCACACCTTTTAGTGGTGTAAGGTGTTCTCAGCCTGTGTTTCAGAATATCCCAGTTTACTAGTGTTTGTTCTTCCAGGTATTTGACAAGAAAAAGGGGGACCAGAAAAAAATCCACAAATTGATTCCTGACAGTAAAGAAAGACGCAGCGAGCAATATGTTTACTCAAGCGAATAGAGCAAACCAGTATGTCCTTATTTTTCAAGCCCTTCAGTAAATATTTTGTCAGTCTTAACACAATCTTTTTTGGGATGACAGTGGTAATCAAGCAGATTCCCCTCCAGAAGGTGCGTATCACAGAGCATCCCACCCACCCGCTGCCTTCCAGCGCGGGTTTGCAACCCAGCAGAAGCAGCTTCCCACTAGGGGGGGATCCTGGGCTGAATTTCAGGTGAGGAATAAGGCTAGCAGGACAGCAGCTAACTTCAAGTCATAAATATTTAAAGTTCTGATCAAAAGGTTTTTTGTAGGAGATGTATGATCCCATTCACGCCCATAAAGCCATCTGACTCTTAACAGCTTTAATTCTTCCTACGGCCATGCCATCGCTAGGGATAAAAGGGGAATGTAACGCACTGATAGACTTGGCCAACGGTGGCTTCCAGGCTTTTGGCCTGCTTGCAAAAAAATAAAAGAGAGTAATGAAAACACATTATGCTTTTCCCCATGTTCCCTGTCATAATAATTTTATAGAATTACACACCATCTTAGCACGTCAATATACACAGCAAATATTTGGCTAACACAAAACAGAACTAGAAAAAATAATGGATGAGCACATGGGACATACATAGTGAAGTGTTTGGTGCTTGCTCTTACCTAACTACCAGGTGCGTGCAAACGATGAACTCGGGTTTGGAATTCCACTGGTGGTAGGTGATGTAGTAGTGTGTCTGCAGCCATATCCACTGCTGCCCTTTGGTCAGGAACCGATAGTAACAGGACTTTCCTTTTCCAAACTGCATCACTGTTAAACAAAAATGAAAGCAATGTATAGCAAACAGAAATGTCATGGTGCAAAGGCAATTAGAAAAACCACTCTGTCCCACAGCCCTCTTGCAGTCTGCTACTGCTCTAAAATGGCTCTTGCGGCTTTATAAACACGACAGATGATACACAACCACATACTGAGCTTTTATTTGGGTTCTTTTTTGCTACTGATTTTCAAGAGTGCACTTTGCTATCTTGAGATTGTTCTTATAACTAATAATTGGTATAACAATATAACTAGCTATATGCTTATAACTTATTCATGGGCATAATAAGCATAAATGACATTAATTAAACAAAGTATTGGCCTTTCACAAGTACATGAGAATGCATTTCAAAGTCTGGGGGCTTGAAGTCAGGATCCTAATAATGTCACAAAACAATAAGATAGCAGAGTTCTAGCAGTTTAATTAAGATTTTTCTTCCGAGAGATGACACAAATACACCAGACCTAGTACGTATTATCAGGGTATGTTCAGAAAAATATCAAGTGGTGTAATACAACTGGAACATAATGAAGGGAACTACATTAAATAACCACATGAATTGTTCCCGGACTGCTGGGAGTACAAAATGAAACATGCTCACTTAAAAAACCCATAATTAATGCAAAGTAAAATACAAATGTGGTTTAAGCAAACCCATTTCACCTCACAGTAGGCAAGATGCCTGCCCAGAGTGGTCAACCTGATGAACGGGAACTTACCAAGCCACACTAACCCAAGTATTTTTACTGACCTGCACACCTCTACTTTGTTAAATATCAGGACTAACTTCTTTTGTGATCCCATTAACAGTGATGGGCTTTAGATGAAGCACTTAGTGAAGGTCTTCTGGCTAACATGCCATGCTGGGGATCACTCAGCTCCTAGTGCTGGCAGAGATTTCCTGAAGCAACATCTATAAGTCACTTTGCCAGCACCTTACTTTGTCCCCCTGCACATAAGATTAAAAGATCCTTTCCTTCAGGTGTGTTGTGCAAATACTCTTTTAGTATGTAAGAGGGGATCCGTGGCTAGTAGAGATGTAGAACATAAATCACTAACTAGATTCTCTGCTGAATGATCTGACCCCACTCAAGGTGGAGCTAACTAATATAGTTAGTGTCTAAACCAAACTGCACGCCGTATTACCAAAAGGACATCACCTGATTAAGTAGCTCACTTCTGATGAATGGTCTTTTAAGCAAACAGCACTAAAAAGTACTGTACTTGGGAACAATTGAAATATTCTTTTAATATTCCCATCTACATGCTTGCTGCACTTGACGCAACTTGCGTCCAGCCCCTTTCACAGCTTCCTTCGGGCGCCCAGCTGGGCAACCCGCTTCCCCGCCGCCTCTTCTGTACCAGCGCTTTGCCTTGACAGGGCAGAAAAACCAGCAGGAAAGCGGAGTGGGGAAACTTGACGTTCAGAGAAGTCGTCATTTTCTCCATTCTCTACCAGGTCCTTCAGCATCTTATATGTGTAAGCGGTAGAGGGTACATGGTAGAGATGGGGGTGGTTTGCAGCTCAGAGACGAAGCAGCTTGTCTAGCTCCAGCGTCCTGGGGGGCTGTGGAGTTTCTTGGTGTCCCTGCATCGTGCTGCTCTGTATCTCAGAGCAAGTACAGCACCCCGCTTTCTCCACTCTCCAGGGTGTCCTTGTTTCCTTTTGACAAAACACTTTCCTTTCAAATGGAGATAGCAGAGAGACAGATAGATAGAGAGTTTGCCCAACAGGAAACCTATAAGTAAAATTTCTTGGCAAAATATCTGATTGCCTAGATGCATTTTACAAAGTGCGCAGTTACTTTTCGTTACAGTGCTTGGCAATGCAAACCAGCTGGAGGACAGACCTAATTCTGGCTCAGTATCTCAGTCTGAAGTGCATGTAACAAAATGGAAAAATACAGTCTCAGGGATAAAACATCTCACATGCTCATCTGGTAGGAAAAGCACACTGATTAATAGTAGACCACGTCTGCTGCCTCCTTTT